GCTGCGCCACCAGGGAGGGCCTTTAAATTGTTTTAACTCCGCAAAATCACAAAAATACACTTCTTAAAATTATTAAGATTTGAATTTCATTATCTAGAATTGCAGTGACAGTGGTACATATTTAATTTACTTTCTAGTGTCATTTTTTCTCTTTCAAGCATAAAACAAGTAGGTAAGAAATGATCTAGGTAAACCTTGTTTTAAGAGTAGATTAAATTAGAAAAACTATAACCTCAATAAAAATACAATAAAAATTGCCATAAAATTAAAAACAAACAGGATTTTAGATTTGAAGTTATTTCCAATTTTAATGACAAGTTTTGAATTCAGAAAATTAAGGAATTAACAAAAATTTTAAGTTAATTTATTAAAATTTATAAGATACAATGAGTCATAGTAAGTTAAGATTAAAGAAAGATAATTCATTGATTCTTATTTTAATGAAGTTAAAAAATTAAAGGCTAAATATGTTATTCATAAAAGAGCATTGCCAATTACAAATTTTCAGAACATAGTGTATTCAATGAATATTGATTATGTAATCACTAGATAAGAAGCTATGTAAAGTTCTGGGACTACATGGGGAAGATAGAGTGCTTTTCTCTCAGGAAGTTTATAATAACTCTATAACAAATGTTTCCTAAATCCAGTTAAAAGATGAAAAAATTCTAAACAAAATTCCAAGAACATTAGATACAGTTTTCTCAAAAAAAAAAAAAAAGTCACAATGGAAATATTTACTGACACACACGAGGAAAACGTTCCATTTAGAAATTATAATGTTGAGATATTGTTAGTCTTTATTATTAAAGTGTTAGACTCTGTCAATCTTAAGTTTTCTATTTTTAAAGTGATCTATAGGTTCTTTGCAATATTACTAGAGAAGATGATGAAGATTATACTTACACATAGGAACTGAATTATTTGGACTGTGGTCAAATGTTTTCATTCCTTCTCTATTAACTGAACGCCATGGCCATATAAATGCAGATAACAACACAAATGCAAACTTTAAGCCTCTGAAAATAGT